GTGTGTGTGTGTGTGTGTGTGTGGAAAGAAACTTTTAGAGACATCAAGACTAGAAGTGCTATATAAATACAGATCATTTATCTCCGTGTAATAGCCAATGGTACCCTGACCACTTCCTGGATTACAAAGCCATTGATACCATTGACTTGCCCCTGACGTTCCCCAGGCCTCAATCCAATTGAGCACCTATGGGATGTTATGTATCGGTGTATCCAAGTTGAATAATTTGTTCATCAAGATCTGATGTGTGTCTGATGAAGTGTTTCCTTAATTGTTTTGGTATGTAAAGGTTAAACAATCTCTTCTCATTAATATTGCTTAATTTATATGTTAAATCATTGTTTGTTTATATGTAGGTACGCATGAAGTCCATGTTCGCCATTGGCTTCTGCTTTACAGCTTTGATGGGCATGTTCAACTCCATGTAAGTCCTACACACTTACATCAGGTCAATGTATTGTCATTGTAGAAGCAAAAAAAAGTGCATCTGTTTGGAAAATATGTGTGTGATTAATCCCACAGGGTACTGTTTGGTTCAGAGGGGATACATTTTGATGCAATGTTAAAAAAAACCTGCAACTATGCACACTGGCCTTCAAAGTGACACACCTTTTTTATCTTTGCCATGCATTAGCCTTGGTTTATTTCTGGTTAGCATCTGGATACAAAGTAAACCCCTTATAGTGATAAAGTTTGTCCCGGGCCAAGTTGATCACTATAACTGTTCATTACTTTAACCGTATTGCATAGCTTCTGTATGAAAGTCCCAGAGCTTGAGGGAAAGGTAAAGTTGGTTTTTAAGATAAGACGATATCACATTTCACACTGACTCCTCTACTCACTTTTACTCTCTCTCTCTCTCTCTCTCTCTCTCTCTCTCTCTCTCTCGCTTGTGTTGACGAGCAAACACACACAAACACACTATAACTGACTCTCTAACCTGCTACAGTTTAAACAACAATTTGTTTGAAATGGATCACCACATAATGATCGATACTAATCTTAAATCAGTAAAATTTTCTTCATAGCTACGCATTCATTCATTCATCTTTCTCTCTCTGTCCCTGTAGACACACTCACACACACACAAACTAAATGCAGACATATTAGTTTGCATTTGACGAAATTAAATGTTTAATCTGAGCAAATATTATCTCCTTATTATTGACTGTCAACTTTTTTGTTTTTTGTTCAGCTTTGATGGAAGAGTAGTGGCCAAACTGCCATTCGTGCCACTGTCTTACATCCAGGGTCTGTCGCATCGTAATCTCCTGGGCGAGGATTTCACAGACTGCTCCTTTATCTTCCTCTACATCCTCTGCACCATGTCCATCAGACAGGTAACGTCTATGTTTTAACTACTTAAAGTGATAGTTCACCCAGAAATTTAAATTTGCTCATTATCTACTCACCACTATGCCAATGAAGGGATGGGTCCACAAAATACTTTTGGAGTTCCAGGGGTAAATAGCTTTGCTGCCTAATCCAATACAATTGAAGTAAATAGTGACCAGTTCAAACGTAAAAAAAATAAAGGACGTAGCATTAACTATGTTAACTGTATGTCACGAGGCAGTTGTGTTTTTTTGTGTCTCATTAGTGTGGCTATAGATTATCAATAGAGCACTTATCTAAAAAAATATTCAGTACTTTGATATTGATTACCTCACTAATGACACACATACGACCCACATAGGAGTACAAATATCACTATCAATTCTGTCAAACTCAAGATAGTGTTTTGCTATTAAATATAAGAATAATAAACCCCTTGTCTAAGCTTTGTTTTGAATCTGGTCACCTGCAGTGATTTTGATTTTCTGATTAACATTCATGTCACAAAAGTTTGGCTGGAAAACTCAGTACCTTTTCGTGTTGCTGTCTTTTACCCAGAACATTCAGAAGATGCTCGGCCTTGCGCCCTCTAGAGCTGCAACAAAACAGGCTGGTGGCTTCCTGGGACCTCCTCCTCAAGCAGCAAAGTTTTCTTAATCCTCAGACAGGTTCTGTGCTTCTCCAGCATTGCGACTGTGTGTCGTCACGGCTCCCTCATCTGAGCACATGCGGAGCTGCTCAGGCCGGATCAAACGTATTATCTGTTGCAGCTACTGTGATCACTGTCTTCTGTTTGAGTTTTCATTCATATTTTGTTTATTTAACTTGAAGATTGTCTTACCTAGAAATTAGAAAAATAAAAAGTTGTTCTTAATGACACTGATTAACAAATATCTATCTTGTATTTGGGACATGCCCATTATCATTTTTTGGGGCATTTTAATTATCAATTGGCATAGTAACACCTGATCCATTCAGTATTATTATATGAAATTGTTAATAAATTTTTATGATCAAACCTTTTGTTGTGCTTTTAATTTGTTTATACATTTCTATCTGAGATATTTATTTTTCATATGTAGATAGCTGAATTTCTGTGTTCTCTGAAGTAATCAGTGTTATGTAATTAGATAGATAGATAGAAAGATAGACATACTTTATTCATCTCCGAAGGGAAATGATTTTGTTCCAGCAGTACAGACATGTGCAATAAGTACAGATGTGCAATAAGTACAAACTTTTTTTTTTTTTTTTACATAAAAGAGCATATATGTAGGATATGGTGACTGAGTTGTTCAGACGGCTAAATGGAGGCAAAGTTAAAAACAGAGGAGACTAGTTGAATGTTTCAATAATCAAGAAGCATAAGAACATAAAACCATAAAACAGTGCAAGAGTAGATGTGGTAAAGCGATACAGTGATAAAAACATTGCAGGTAGTAAGTGATACAGTGATGTGCAAAAGAGACTAGCTATTATATACAATCTACGAGAATAACATCTACTGATATTGAATACCAGTCATTATAAATAGCAGCGGAAAAATTACATTTACATTGCAGATGGGAATAGGAGACTTATGTAGTTAAGTTAAACCTTCAGTTGTTACAATAGCTACAAGGAGTTATTATAGAACCTGATGACGGATGGCAGGAATGACTTCCTGATTCTGTCCTTGTGACAGCAGAGTTGTCTGAGTCTGTGTGAGAATGTGCTCCTCTGAGCCTGGAGGATTTGGTGGAGAGGGTGGTCGGGGTTATCCATGATGGATAGCAGTTTGTTCAGCATCCTCCTCTCCACCACTGTTTCCATGTTGTCCAGTTGTCCAGATAGAATAATTGCTATTGTCCCTATTAATGATTTAAGCCCATTTGTTGTGATCCAAATTGAGTTGTAGTGGGTCAAAGATCAAGAAGACATCCTCACTAAACTGTGTTTGCTAGTTCTTCCTATATAAGTCTTATTAATGCAAGATAATTGGGGCAAACATTTTTAAGGACTTTTTTAAAAACTTGCATATGAAGAACACGTTATACATTTGGCCTGCCTGTTTCACCTGGCAATACTCTAGCCTACACTAAATTATACAATTCTTTATTTCTACTCTATAAGCCTTTCCCCAGTCCATTTTTTGACCTGTCATGTCAGTGAGGCCACACCCACAGGACCAGAGCATTCTTTTTATTATTCAGACCCCTGTGCTCTTACGAATGTGTCAAGTCTAAATGTCTTGTAATTCCGTCATTTGAGGTTAAAGCAAAAGTAACTGAAACAACTCAGCCTTTTACTTTTAACAGTTTGTCCTATGTCCTATCTGTTTACATGGACGGGTGGGGGGGTTGACCTAAATTGGAGCCAGCCACCAGGGGGCGATCCAAATGTTTTTATCCTGACTTTTGGGGAGGTGTGGTGCTGTCCGTCCTTATATCCAATCAAACCATGAAACCCAGAGTTCATCCAGTGCAGAGAGCAACTCAAGTACCTTTGTGCAGCCTCTCTAAAAATTTATATGAGGCGAAGACTGACGTGCCTACCCTAACACACTTGACTTGATGGGACATGTCCATAGGTCATGTCCCAAGTAAAGAAGTAATGTTCCACTGGACACCAAGAGGAGAGGAATCAACGAGTCACACAGCCCTGCTGCTTTCTTTTATTACATACATACTGTCAGTGTCCACGACACAAATAATACATGAGTTGGTCAAAACTTGCATTATGAAAGAATCTATCGGCTGATTGTTGTTATCCGCTCATAGGTCAACATTTATTAAATTAAGATAAGATAAGACGGTCTTTCATCAGTCCCGGAATGGGGACATTGATCAAATCATGGTACGTATGTTTTGAGTGTGATCAGTAGTAGAAATGTAATGATCTCTGCTCGCTGACACTATGGTGGAGTCTCACCTCTGGGGCTCAACCTGACGCGACACTGATTTCACAGCGCACATGACTGTAAATGGCGGAAGGACAAGTAGTTCCTGTTAATTCGGTTAGAAGGGCATCGAACAGTGGAACAGCCGATGGTGAAATGACACGTTGACCTTCAATGACTCCGTTTAGAGCTCGATTTCCTGATGTGGTCATCGAGCCTGGAACGGGAAGAGGTCACAGTATCGATCCCCTCGGGCTGTGTATATAAAGTGCTGACTCCGCTCATTCCTCAGTCTGCGGCTCTGCACAGAGACAAGCGGTGAGTGAGACGGTCTCTGTGTCCCTCTGTCTGTCTCTGTCTATCTGTCTCTGTGTCCCTCTGTCTGTGTCTCTGTCTCCTTTGGGTGTAACACGTCCAGCGGAGCATTTTCTCTGCTATTTAAAAAGCTTTACGTAATATCCGTGCAGCTGAACCCACACGTCCTCCTTCTTATTCTGAAGAGTCCACTGCAGCGCCTGACCTCCAGTGTCCATTTGACTTCTGCAGGTCCTCTCCAGTCCAACATGTCCCAGTCAGTCCTCGACACGATGCCCGGAGCCTCGACGGGGACCGTGAGCGTTACAGACCACCTGAACTTCTGGGATGGGAAACGCGTGAAACCCAGGCAGGAGATCAACGCTGAGCCAGTGTTCGAACCTGCGACCGGTGAGAACAAGGCAGTAAAGCCTGGTTAACAGAGAACTAGTTAAAATGTTAAATGCATGTGTGAAAGCGTGGATCCCAGTGCCGTGGTTTGCAGGATAGTGGCACGGCTGGTCACTGGAGCCACCATGAGTTATGCTGTTATGCAATAGAGACTCTCCCCCTTTCCTCTGTGGTGGCGAGGCAGAATATCTTTGGTATTTTAAACTGAGGGACGATGATTGAAACCTGACAACTCTCCCGGTTGCATTTATTTAATTTATTTCATGAAAAATAACAATTATTCTTATTGCCAATATGCACAAAATGCAATTTGATTCATTGGGCATAACAAGGTGCAACATCTAATGCACTTAAACGCAAACTACCCAATAAAAACGTTTTAACAGGGGAAAAACCCTGAAAAAAACCCTCTCTACATTGTATTTTTATCAGAATCAGAATACCTTTATTGTCACACAAACGGGGAAATGTCTTTGTCACAGCAGCAACAGGACAGTAGAGGTTTTTAAAAACAATAACAGTAGTGAAAAATAAACAAGATAATTTAAAGGTAAGGAAAATATAATAGAAAGAATATACTGCTATTTACATATGAACATATTCAGTGTGCAATGAATTTACAAAAAGACAGTGTGGCAGTGTATTTACTAGTGATAATAAATATGGGTATTTATAAAAAGTGTATGCAGATGTATGCTACTGGGAGCAGTGATTGTAAAGTCTGACAGCAGCAGGAAGGAAGGACCTTCGGTACCTCTCCTTCACACACTTGGGGTGTATCAGTCTGTTGCTGAAGGAGCTGCCCAGTGCTGTGAGAGTGACCTGTAGTGACCTGCATTATTTAGTTTAATGCATTGTTAATCAGTGTAAAAGTTCAGTAGTGTAGTCCAGTAATTCTGAATTTGCAGATTAACATGGTAAGAAGTGCAATAGATACGTATTAACAGAGCATGTTGAAAGTTTTTACAACACTGATGAGAAAAGACAGTGTCCAATATAAATGGTGAGGTGTATCTATATTTAAAGTATGTATACAAAATAAAATGTCTGACTGATATGAAGGGACTAGTAATGACAATTGTGATGATAGAGGAATTGCCAGTAATGGTGATAAATGTGAGTAGGCTTATTATATCTAAGCAGTTCAGTTGGAATCATAGTCCAGGATCAGCTGCTTCTAAAATAACAACAGCTCTTTAGGTCTCGGAGCCTGTCTGTGAGCTGTGTGTGTGTGGATGTGTTTCCTTCAGGCCGTGTCTTGTGTCAGATGGTGCCCTGCGGGGCTGAGGAGGTGGACGAGGCCATCAAGAGTGCGCACGCTGCCTATCTGAAGTGGAGCAAGATGGCAGGCATGGAGAGGGCACGGGTGATGCTTGAGGCCGCCCGTATTATCAGGGTGAGGCGGTTCAACAGCTTGTGTGGGGGTTGTAAAAGATTTTGGTGTTGTGCAACAGAGATTGGAGTTGACTGTTACAACTGTGCAACAAGACATCATTCATTAAACCCCTCCTCCCTTGCAGCTGCACTACAATTTTTGCACAAAGAGGAGTGTGTGATGATTTTCAACCTCCAATGACCATCATCATTACGTAATTTTAAAGCTCTGCACATGTTCTTTCTTGTGATCCAATGAAAACAGGAAAGAAGAGAGAAGATTGCAAAGCTGGAGGTGATCAACAATGGCAAGACCATCACTGAAGCACTGGTGGATATTGATATTGCCTGGCAGTGCATTGAATACTATGCTGGACTGGCTGGTACACTTGCAGGTGAGTACACGAAGACTCAATGCACTAGTGCTCCAAGATAATATCAAGAGAATGATGGATTGTGTTCTTGTTCTCTGCAGGCCAGCATATCCAGCTTCCTGGGGGAGCCTTTGCTTACACCAGGAGGGAGCCCCTTGGCGTGTGCGTGGGAATCGGTGCGTGGAACTACCCCTTCCAGATCGCATCATGGAAGTCTGCTCCTGCTTTGGCATGTGGTGAGTTTGGAAGCATGTATATGTTATGAATTATGATTATCCAGTTTGAAACCATTATTTCTTCCTAATTATCCAGCAGTCACGCTTCTTGTGTACCTTAACCGTAAATACACTTGTCACCTGCATGGTTAAATTTGTGCTGTGTTGTCAGGTAATGCTATGGTATTCAAGCCCTCTCCAATGACTCCCGTGACGGCCGTCATTCTGGCTGAGATCTACAAAGAGGCAGGCGTACCTGATGGGCTTTTCTGTGTGGTGCAAGGCGGAGCTGAGACCGGCACCTTGCTCTGCCACCACCCGATGGTTGCCAAAGTCTCCTTCACTGGCAGTGTGCCAACAGGCAAAAAGGTACAAAAACATGTTACAGACACAAAATGTTGACAGTACTTCTGAAGTGAACTGACTTTTAAACGACCCTTCTATTCAATGGACCACATTAGTGTGCTACAGTCTTTCCCATTAATTACATTTGACATTAAATACATCTGACATTAATAAGTCAGATCTCATAGTTTAGTCACACGAGAGCATATCTGTGTAGCTGTCACTCAGTCTTTTGTGCATTACAGTGACCTTCGTGCACATGAACCCCATTGTCACCAAGGATTTAATTAATTCTGTGGGTGTTAGTCGTGTTAATGTATCTAACCATTTCTTAAATTATTTTCATACTGCATTAACACAGGGTATTTTAGAAAAGTTAAATGTAGTCTTAGATTTTTGGAATTTGGTTTTACTGCCTACATTTTAGTATGTCATAACACAGAATATACTTTGTTCCTCAGGTCATGGAAATGTCTTCTAAGGGGGTGAAGCAGGTGACTCTGGAGCTTGGAGGGAAATCTCCACTCATTATTTTCAAAGACTGTGAGCTGGAGAATGCAGTGAAGGGAGCGCTCATGGCAAACTTCCTCACACAGGGACAGGTGAGGAGGAGATTTTCGAATCATCATGTATCCCCGTTTTTCATGATGTCAATCTCGACCCTTTGTGTCAGCCCTTAAAGCTTAAAATGTCTGTCCAATGAAAATACAGGTTTGCTGCAATGGAACCCGAGTGTATGTACAGAGAGAGATTATGACCAAGTTCTTGGAGGAAGTGGTGAAAAGGACCAAGGCCATCCGTCTGGGTGACCCTCTGCTGGATGAAACTCGTATGGGAGCCCTTATCAGCAAGCCGCAGCTGGAGAAAGTGCTGGGATTTGTTAGCGAGGCCAAGAAGCAGGTATGTTACTCATCTGCTGTGATAATGGCTCTGCTATCACTGATCCAGTGAAATTTGTTAACTCAAGAAACACCCACAAACTGTCTATACAGCGTGCAGGTGTTTCTTTTTTTAGGGTTGGGCCGATGATGTCTGACAGCTGTCACAATGCTGAACCAACAGGCTCCACCTACACAGCTATCACAGACAATATTCAGGTGTGCAAAAGGTTTTTGATGAGTTCATCCACAAACTTGTCTGTTCTTCCAGGGCGCCACAGTTCTTTGTGGAGGAGAACCTTTTGTCCCCAGTGACCCCAAACTAAAAGGAGGCTACTTCATGTCACCCTGTGTTCTTGGTAAGTCTTCTTTGGTATTCTCTTTCGTTCTTTATATTTTCCTGCAGCACTACTCTGATCACTTATTTTCATTTGCACACTTTGTGACCCAGTATGAGCCCCACATAACATCCAGCACTGTCTCTCTCCTGCACAGATAACTGCAGAGATGATATGACCTGTGTGAAGGAGGAGATTTTTGGGCCCGTCATGTCGGTCTTGCCTTTCGACACAGAGGAAGAAGTACTCAGGCGAGCCAACAACACCACCTTCGGATTGGCCTCTGGAGTCTTCACCAGGTCAGTTGAGGAAAAGAAGAGCATTTGAATTTAGGATCACTCAGCAGTTTATCACAACCTCTGTTTACACAGTGCTAACGGTTCGCCCTCATAGATAATGAGGCCACTGCATTCCGCTGGTTGCATGCCAGGGCTTTCCATGGTGTGGAAAGTTCCAGGAAGAGTTAGTTATGTACAGTCTCTGTAATTAGGGAGTGGATCAAGTTTTTATTCTGCCTGATCAGGGTACATATACAGAGTATTAACTCTTTTTATGCCTCCACTCTGGTGACTGCCTTGACAGGAGTCCTTCAAAGTCTTGACTATATATATTTCATCTGAACATACACGGATAAAAACTGCAACTTTGCACAGACATACAACAGTAATGCTGGGCTGGAAATGAAACTAAACCACCTAATACAAAACACTGAAGGTTTCAAGTAGAATATATTGTATACATTAAATCTAAATATCTTACCACAGTAAACTTAAACTTAAACTTCCTTTATTGATCCCACAAGGGGAAATTCTTTTTACACTCATGCTTTTCATTTAATACATGCATTAACCCACAATCCCACACACACACAGGGCTCAAAGACATGCACATAAAGTCAGTCAGGTAACTCAACAAAAGTTACATATTTCTTATACAGCGTTTTTGGAAACCGAGATTTCAAATCAATTAGTTTAAGTCCCTGGAGACACACCCTGCAGGCTACACAAATAACGGTCATCATGCGACACTGGAATGCCAGACAGGTGGGAGCCAGAAGGCACCAACACCAGACACAAAGGATCTGTAGATCATAATGAATACATACAGTAAAATAAGAATCAATGTCTCAAACAACTTTAACTTCTATAATGCAGTTGTTCTATTTTGTATTTAAAATGTGTCCTCCGCTCGCAGGGATATCTCTCGAGCCCATCGTGTAGCTGCGAACCTGGAGGCAGGAACCTGTTTTATCAACAACTACAACATCAGCCCTGTGGAAGTGCCATTTGGTGGATACAAGATGTCAGGTGGGCTGCTGTCAGGTTAAAATAGTCAGAATAAAATGGTCTTTGCACCTGCAAGAAAAATGCATTCATAGTATTAAATATTCTTGCATTGTGAGACCCAGATTATCTTCACTGAATGAATGTCTGGTGATTCAGTCTCTCATGATCTGTTCTGTGCTTCACCAGGCTTTGGCAGAGAGAATGGCCAGGTGACGATCGAGTACTACTCCCAGCTGAAGACCGTGGTGGTGGAAATGGGTGACGTCGAGAGCCTCTTTTAAACTTTCCTCGCTGATTTGTAGCTGCTTTGCTGGAACTGGGACTAACACTCCTCACTTCTCCCTTAAGTCATGTACTAGGCACCAGAAATGTACACTTCTTTTTTGAGGCATGTTACTATGAAACAAACATCTACTTCTTCCCTGTTCACGGTCAGCTCTCAACTATTACCCAACAACTAACACTGATTTAGTTTTGACCAAATAAACTGAGACAATATTGAATTAATGCACTATTTTAAAATGACATACTGGTGTGTATGTGGAAGAAGAACCAAGAGCCTTAATGAGAAACTGATTAGCATTAGCATCTAATCAGCATTAGAAGAAAATAACTGCCAATCACAGCAGGTGTCAGATTTTCTACTGTTTGCTAAACTGCAACACTTTGACAGCTTTTGTATCAAAATAAAATCTTTTGGGTAAAAAGTTTCTGAGTTTGTCTGTTGCTTCTCATATGTTATTCCCACTTCAAACAAACAATTTATACTCAGGATGTATGATACTGATCTACTTATACATGATATTGCAAAAAATCTCCATGTTCAGTAGTACTTGTACATGTGTGGTGTGTCTGCTACCTCGTTCTGCTCTTTTGTGAACTTCACTGTTAAAATATTACTATTAGAAATGTATTGTAAAAACAATTGCAGTATTTAATTGTTGGAAAATAACCTATGATCATATGCTGAGACAAAGAAGACAAATTGATTTTCAAAATCAATTTTATTCTAAACATTTATATTTATTTGCAAAATTCTCAATTGAACCCTGCTAGTTTGGCAGCAACCTGGAGTAAACCCACGTTGGCACCTGGAGAACAGGTAAGCTCCACTCTGACATGTTGTGAGGTCACAGTGTTGAAACTGTGTGACCCACATAAGCAGACAAAACTCACCTAGATTTGAGACAGTCACTTAGGACAAGGACAAAGTCCCCAAACCCTCGATTTAAATATATTAGCTATGAAACACTGGTATATGAGTAGTATTTACCAACAACTTAGTATATTTATGCTACATATATTAGTAACATGTATTGAATAGAGTATTTCCATTCAATGCTAGTTGATAAACATTGTACTTTCTATGTAAATATGAGTTTTGATAAAATGTATTTATTCAAATGGGATAAACCCCTTGATTTGCACCAACTCGTTTTCGATGGTGTCCGACAAGTTTAACATTGCAACAATGTGAATTTAACATCCCATTATTACAGTGAGAGCTTTTTGGCTTGTGATCTGTGGCAATAAAACTGTGTCTATCATGTAGTATATGAAGTAGTATGTATTCTATACAGGCCTAGTCCCTGCTTTGTAAATGTCACTGGATTGAAAAGACTCAGAGCGTGCTTTTATTTTGACAATAGTGAGCCGGAAGTGTTGTTGTCCATAGATGTTGGATCTTTCCATGGTCACCCTGTATTTCAGCCATGCAGGTAATGATTTCTCCTCAGTACTTCGTAAATACTTTGTAAATGACAGCGTGTTGTCTTAGTTAAAGGTATAATCTGGTGTATTCCCCGGTGTTTGTGTGCAGAGCCTGTGGTTTACTCATGAAAATAAACAAAGCTAGCAGCAGCTAGCTCGCTAAATCAGGTAGCGTGCGTTAGCATGTAGCTAAAGGTTTAAATAACTGAAGCCAACGTTACTAGTTAAACCAGAGTTTGTGTAGATGACTCGCAGAGTTTAGTAACTTCTTGTGTGAAACAGTGAGATGAAGCTTCACCGAAGAGTCCATGTGTTGATGCTTCATGTAAACAGATCATCAGCTGACCACAATGTAAAGTGACAAATGTCTGCATATTACATCATTATTCTCAGTATAAGGGAATATATACATATACATATATATATATAACTATATTTTAAAATGCTGTTGAGGCAATCAGCATTCTCTGTTATATATTCGTCTGTGATATACGCAGTCAGTGTGCATTGTAAGGAAAGAACATGTACATTTGACAAAAACTAATTCATATTTATGGAGAATAAACAACTTCCCTGCTGCCTTTAACGACTAAGAAGATTTTAGTTCTTTGAAGCGATCTCTTTCAAACCCACTGCAACTTGTCACAATCAGAGGCAGCTCCATTTGCCAAGTATTTGTACTCCGTTTTAGCATTGCTGTCAGTGTACCTACATAGTAAACATACATCAAAAATTAAGTAAAGAATAAGGCAAAACCAACAACAAATAGCTCATATATCCAAAAAATGATGGATGAAAGCTGTCGATAAATGTTTATCTGTCCTTACAATTTTTTCAATGGGTCCAGTTATTCAGAGAAATAAGATTAAAGTTTTGGCAAACTGCAGAAGTCTATGAAAAAACATCATTTGTCTTGGAGGTTCATTATACACATTGCTCCATAATAGGATCTGGTTATCTGATCTGGTGCGCAGTGTATATTTGTTGTATTTGTTTCTGAGACTGAGCTTTTTTTGTGTGTGTGTGTGTTTTTTTTCCCTCCACAGCAAAGAGAAGAGAAACAGCTGGAAGCGTCGGTGGAGTCTCTAATTTCTCGGGTGGCTCACGTCAAAAACGCTCTTCACAGTTTCATTTACAAGTTGGAAAATGAATATGAGAGGTTAACATGGTAAGTAATGCATTTTACTGCAGGACAGTAGATTTCTGTTTGGGTTTTAAGTGGAAATGTTCATGTGTGAGGAAGTGTTGGGGCCTTGGACATTTACAGTTTATTGCCAAGAAGGTTCTGTTTTTGTCTCTTTGTTTTGTTTTTTGTAAATTAGCAGGATTGTGTAAAAATTTCTCAATCGATATCCAGGACATTTTGTGAAGGGGTGGAGCATGACTAAGACTTCTAACATGTCCGTGCTCTGATCACTATGTCAAAAACACATAATTCATTTTCTATGGAGCAGCTTTGAGATAAGATTGTCTCTCTTGTTATATTCACATATAAAGGCAATCGCCTATTTATCTCTATTTTCTTCTGTAAATATGTTAGTCTCTGCATTACTTGGTCACTGGATGTCAGTCATAATATATCATTAAATTAGGCAAGTTTCCCTTTTAAGATGTTTTTTGTGGATTGTTTTTTCTTCTGTCAGATGCTGTGATGTGTATTTTGTGTCTTTCAGGCCTTCTGTGTTGGACAACTTTGCTCTGCTCTCTGGTCAACTGAACACCATCAACAAACTGCTCAAGAATGAGAAGACGCCGTCCTTTCGCAACCAGGTTATAATTCCTCTGCTGCTGTCTCCGGACAGAGATGAAGATTTAGCGGTGCGTATTTTCACAGGTGAAAGCCAGCAATGTGTCTGCTTGAGGCATGTCCATTTATCACTGCTGCCTGTTCTCCATCAGAAACTGACAGAGCAGCGTGTCCCGGTGTTCAGCCATGAGATCGTACCAGACTACCTGCGGACAAAACCTGATCCGGAGGTGGAGGAGCAGGAGAAACAGCTGAGTACAGAGGCAGCACGCATCGGCCCCGAGGTGGCACAGGTCAGTTAGTTACACTGCTATGATATACACTGAGCTGTTTGATTCTGTCTTAGTCATATACAAAATATTAGGTTGTGTAACTTTTACTGCCTTATGAGTATTTTGCATTTTTAACACAACACCCTGCCATATGTTTCACAACAGAAACAAATCCAGGCGCTGAACAAGCTGTGTTCCAATCTGCTAGAGAAGCTGAACAATCCACGCGATGACAGAGATTCAGAAAGTGCATGTAGGTCACTGTTTTTGGTTCCTTTGTTTAATTTTTTTCTCTAATTTGTAGATTTTCATGATATATTCTTTTTTTTTTTTTTCAGCATTGAGACAAAACAAACCATCTTTCAACCCAGCTGATACTAACGCACTGGTTGGAGCGGTCGCATTTGGAAAAGGGCTTTCTAAATGCAGGCCTCCTGTTGCCCCTGGACATCCCGGACAAGGGCCTATGATGAGTGGGGGCCCGACCTTACAGCAGGTCACCATAGGTGGAGGTCAGCAAGCAGCTATGGGGGGACCTGGGGCTCAGCAGCAGCAAGGACAGCCAGGTAGGAGACCTGGAGAGCTGGGTTTGTATTTCTATTTCTACTTCTTTGTCTTTGAGTGTTATTTTTGCATGTACGCACACACTGTAGCAGCTGAAGCAAAGGAGGAAAACAGTCACTGTAGTATTGAGAAAAATGGCAAAGTGTGTGGAAGGACAAGGACACATAGGATGAAGGCAACACAATCAAGAGTCTCAATTGCCTTGTTCAGACCTGGTATTAAGATCTGATCACTTGTGGTCAGTGCTAATTTCCTCTGTTCCCACCCGGTAATAAAATGCCTCCTGAATGTGTCTCCACTGACCACTTGTGCTTGGATCTCAATTTTGTGTTTACTATGACCAAAATTGGTTTTTAGCCATTGTGAGTAGATGTGTCAGTTCATGTGTTTGTCTGTGTAGGTGAGTGAGTGAGTGTGAGAGAGAAGAAGAGATCATTATGTGGTGGTCAGTGTAGATACTGTGGCCTCAAACACGTCAACGTATGGACCCTGAGAAGCGTAAAAATTCATTCACTGTGAAACTGTAGGAGGACATCAGCTTAGTAGGCGGTCCATTTTATTTTTGTTTACACAAAAAGAATGAAGCAAGGTGTGTTAAAGCAGGTCTGTACATGTCTATTTAAAGAAATGGATTTGTTCACAGCTTGTGGACGAGGAGTGTGCTTCAATCTTGGTTACAGAGTTTAATCAATAATTGGAGATCCATTATTTTAATTTGATAAAAAAAAATTAATGAATTTTAGTAGTTGCACTAGAGTTACTAATGGCTACTATTATCAGCCAGAGAAGCTGAATAAATTCATTCCAGATAATCAAGACACAATTACAGAACCTTACTGGTATTTAATTCTTGTACACTGGGATGTGACATCCAGCTCCTGCTAACAAGTGTAGGTGTGAGGATACAGTGACCATATTTGCACTAATGGTTGTAGTTTGAGATGTAATGTATATCTATTATATTGAACAAAATGATTATGAAGTAATTTAATACCATATCACATACACAGGATCATTTAAAAAACAGTTGTCAGCTAAGTCAAAGCTAGATTGACTAGTTGAACAGATATCAGAATAAATGTTTATGTGACTTCCTGTATGGGGCTGAGGATGCTGCTGCAAATATTCTGACCTCAGTGTCTTGACCCTGGATGTTTTTATCTCTCCACTTTAAGACAAGGCAGAACTGTATCTCGGACGAGTCTCGTGTTGCAGGGGAACTATTCACAAATTTTCCTTCACAGCATATAAGAAACTTGTTTGGAAATTGTGGAATTGTTCATTCCTGAGTGGATATGTAACTGAACTGATTTGCATAGTGTATAGCTTTCATTATATATGGTTATGATAACAACACCTTGAACTTTTATTTACATTTCACTCACTTACTCTTCTGTGAGCTTTTTGCTGCTAA